TACAGAGGAAAGCGCGGGCGCCCTTCACCGCACGCACCCGACCCGACTTGACCGCAAACAGCTGCTTGCGGCGCGCGACATACGCGTAGAAGGCGCCTGCGGGGCGGGCAGGCGGGCGGGCAGGGCAGGTGCATGGGCCTTGCGGTGGCCGTCGGGGAACCAACACTGGCAAGCCGAGTGCCGCACACCGGGGCAGCTGAAACGACCGACTGATGTGGCACACAGGCGGGCCGGCGGTGCGGCACGGTGCCGGCGGGCGAGGCGCAGGCAGGCGGGAGCGGCAGGGTGGCGGCGCCCACCTGGCGACTGGTCCCAGGGCTCTGGCAGCGGGTGTGCGCCCTGCAGCTCCTCCACACCAATCCCCTTGTCCTGCTGGCGCAGCAGCAGCTCCACCGCCTCGTCCTCCCAGCACCACAGAGGCTCCCAGAAGGCGCGGGTGGGCGCGCCGCCGCCGCCGCCGCCGCCGCCGCCCTTCTTGCCCCCCTTGCCGCTGCCCTTGGCTGCCCTGCCGCCGCCGCCGCCGCCGCCCTCCAGCTGCACCACCCGCCCGCTGCCCGCCCCGCCGCTGCCCCTGCCCTCTGCCCTGCTCACCCGGTGGCCCTGCGGCGGCGGCGACTCGCCCTCCGCCAGCAGGGCCACACCCGCTGCCTGGCCCCCCATGCCGTCGCCGCCGTACCCTGCCACCAGCTGCAGCGCTGCAGCGGTCGGCGAGAACAGCAGGTGCTGCTGCTGGTCCTGCTGCTGGTCCTGCGGCTGGTCCTGCTGGTGCAGCTGCTGGTGCAGCTGCTGCTGCTGCAGGGCCTCCAGCTTCCGCACCTGCTCCAGCTGCTGGGCGTAGGCCAGCAGCGCCGCATGCGACGCCACCGCAGCGCCGCCCTCGTACCTGTGGGCCCCCTCCGCCACGGCCGCCATCACCGCCGGCGGGAACACCGGCAGCAGCTGCTGGTCGGGCGCGTGGGGTGCCGGGGCGCCGGGTCCCGCCGTAAAGGTGAAGACATGATGCCCGGGGGCCGCCGCCGCCGCACGCTCCAGCCCGTCGCCGCCGTCGTCCGCCAGCAGGCGCTGCTGCGCCGCGGTGAGTTCACCAAAGCGGTCGGCCAGGGTGGAGGGGCCGCCCTCCAGGGGGCCTGCCGACGCGTCTTCTGCTGCAGGCGCAGAACCGCCGCCGCCGCCCGGCCCCAGCAGCAGCCGGTCGGCATAGGTGGCATGGGAGCCCGAGGCGGGCAGGTGCATGCGCACTGTGAAGCTGCCGCCGCCGTTGCCGCCGCCGCCGCCGTCGTCGCCGCCGTACTCGGCTTCCCTCAGCGTGCCGCTGCTGGTCCTGGAGGGGCCGCCAAAGCCCGGGGGCAGGGCGGCGCCATCGGGCGCAGGAGTGGGGCGGCGCACAGGCCGCCGGGCGGCTGCCGGCGCCTCACGGCTGGCTGCCGCGTGGGCGGCCCGGCGGCCCCGCTCCGCATCTTCGCGGCCCTCCAGTGGGGACGCCTTGCGCGGCCTGCTGGCGGGCGGCGCCTTGTTGCGCACAGTGATGGTGATGTTCTGGGGAGGCTCAGATGGCGGCTGCTTGGCTGCGGCCTGCTTAGAGGCCTTGGCATCCGCCTTGGCATCCCCGGCAGCCACCTTCTGGTGCTTGCTCTTGGGCCCCGCTGCAGCTGCTGCGGCCGCAGTGGCGGCAAGCACCTCTGGAGGCTGCAGCGGCGCGTCGCCAGGCTGCGCCTCCTGGGGCTGCCACTGAATGGGCGCACGCTTGCGCTTGGCCCCCGCTGTTGCAGCCGGCTGGTCGCCGGCCCCGCCGCCAGGCGCCGCCAAGTGGCGGTTTGCTGCCTCTGGCTCTGACTGCATGCGCGCTGACGCATTGATGGCCGCAGCCCGCTGCCTGCTGGAGGGACGGTCGGTGCTCTCGCGCGGTGCGACCCTGGCAGTCTCCCGTGTGTCACGCAGCTCTGCAGCTGCCGAGCGCCGGCCCTGCTGCTGCTGCTGCTGCTGCCGTTGCTGGCCTGGCATGGCTACTGCTGCCTGCTGGCCATCCTGCGGCACCATGGCATCTGCCGGCACCACTTGAGGAATAGGGTCAGCAGAAAGGGAGATGAAGGATGGGGCAAGCATATGCTCGCCATGCTGCTGGGGAGGCACCTGACGGCTGCCAGCTGCTGCACCCGATGCAACAGCTGGCGAGCCTGGCACGGCAGCAGCATCGAAGCGTGGGCCAGGCAGCTTGCCGCTGCCGCCAGCAGGCCGCGGAGATGCCGCGCCTTGCGCGCCTCGCTCGTCCTGCTGCCGCTGGCGCTCCTGCTTGCGCGGCGACACTACTGGCCTCTGGCCCCGCTGCTGCTGGCGTGGCGACACCTCGTCCCGCCGCTGACGCCGCGGGGGCGGCGGCGACTCGCGGCGCTGCCGCTGGGGTGGCGGGGAGTCGCGGAGCTGGCGCTGAGGGGGAGGCGACTCGCGGCGCGGCCCTTGGTCCACCTGGAACCTGCGAGCTATGCGCTGCACCTCTGAATGGTCCTGCAGCTCAGTGAGGAGGCGGGGCAGGTAGGGCGCCATGTCGTGCTCCTCGCGGTACCGCTGGAACCAGTCGATGGATGCCTGGCGCCGCCACGCAGCCTCGGCCGCCTGCGGGGAGGGGCAGGCGGGGCGCAGGGGCAGAGGAGGCGGGCTGTGATGAGGCAAGCAAGCAAGTGGGGGTGGGTGCGCGCTGCAAGGCATGCCCCTCAGGCTGCTGCCGGCACAACCCGCAGGGCCGCAGCATCCAGCGGCGCAGCAGATGCTTTGATGTGACGGCTGGCCACCGCCGCCCACCTGCTCGGGCGGCAGGCTGCGGTTGTGCAGGCGCTGGTACTCCCGCAGCGCCGCCAGCTCGCCCTGGCCGTGCTGCTGCCACTCGGGCTCCACCAGCGGGTTGTGGCTGGAGACGGAGAAGACTGGGATGCGCAGGAAGGGCGGCGCGTCGTTGCCGGTATGCCCCGACTGCAGCCGCCGGCGCAGGGCCAACCAGCGGCGGTGGTTCAGCACTTGCACGCACCGCGACGGCATCCAGTGTCTCAGTGTCAAGGGGAGCCGTGCATCCCGGCAGCGATGCCCAGCCGGCGGGTGCTGCAGCAGGCAGTGCGTGCCGGAGCAGCTGCGGGGCGGGTGCTCACCTGCACCAGCACCTGGTCCTGACCCTCCTCCACCATGTACCGCACCACGCTGCCCAGGTGGTAGCCGCGGCAGTTGAACCTGACCAGCACATTCTTCACCACGCTCATGGCCTCGCCCTTGTCCTGGTTGTGAGCTGTGCGGCAGGGGCCAGCGTGAGGGAGCGGCAGGAGTGGGGGCAGGACAAAGGGGCAATGGCTGTGAGGGCCGCCAGCGCGAGCGGGCACCTCCTTGAGCGGATCTGATTGTGCTCACTCACCATTGAGCAGGCGCTGCACCTCCACCAGCTTCACCAGTTCGTCGACAGTGCAGAACAGGTAGCGCATGTTGCCGCGGGTGCAGGCGACCGTGCCGTGTGCGCCGGGGCTGGTGGCCGACCGGCCGCCGTGTCCCGGGCCAGGACTCCTGCGCCTGCCCCGGTCAGCCCTGCCCTCATCGATATCCATCATCCCGCTACGACTCTGACTCTGGCAGGGTCCGAGGGTGGCGTCACTGATAGGGTGCTGTCGCTCATGCGCAACTCGGGCCGCGCGGCTGCAGACGGGCTGTCTAGGTCAAGCGTCCGATTGATGGAGAGCCGGTCAGGCACAGCCGCAAGCGTGCGCGAGCCCCACTATCGTAGCCAGCCAGAACAGCGTCGCCCAGAAGCCCAGGCTATTAAAGCTGAGAATTGATGTTGCATAGAAGACAATTGCGGTTGTGCGGCATCGCCAGGGCAGAGAGCAGTGGCGCCCGACGCCGCCTTTCCTTCCGCCGCCCGCCTGGCCAGGCGCGAGGTGCTGTTTGAGGCTCAGGATTGAAGATGGGGCCAAACGTAGAATCTGTGTTGTCCCAATTACGATCATCTATGTGCTGCTGTGTGGAACTGTTCCACCTTTCTTGATGGTCGCCTTGCCGTGGACTCGCCAGGCGGGGGCGGGTCCAGTTGGCAGGCCTTCCTCCTTCCTTCCATCCATCCATCCATCTACAGCCACGTTTGCAGCAAATACATTGAGCCGGGCTAGCACCCCGGCTTGTGAGCACTGCTTCCGTGATGGCCCTTGCAGTGTCGGCCCTTGCAGCCGGCCCCACGAGGCCAGGCAGCAGCAGAAACACGCACCGACACGGATGCACGGCGCAGCACGCGTGGCTGGGATGTGCCCCAGTGCAGCGGCAGGTGGCTCGGCCGCCTTGGCGGCGGCACCCAAAGCGGCTCGCCCCACCCAGCTGGGGAGCCAGCATCACTGTTGTGCGGGCCCAGCAGGAGCAGCAGCAGCAGCAGCAGGAGGAGGCGGTGGAGCAGCAGGACGACTTGCCCGACTTCCAGCCACCCAAGTTCCGCCCCTTCACAGCCCGCAACAGCCTGCACCGCGCCATGACCAGCTACCGCTCCTGGCACGACTGCGGCACCGAGTGCGGCGGCCCGCCCGGTCAGACGCTGCTGGTGACGCCGCTGTCGGCTGACTGGGTCAACGACACCGCTGACCTGCTGACCGACAGCTTTGCGGAGGCCATGGCTGCCGCTCCCTACAAAAACTTCCTGCGCCGCCGGGTGCGCCAGTACTTGGAGGCACACATGCAGCTGCCGCCAAAGGCGGTGGTGCTGGTGGCCCTGCTGCTGCCGCCACCAGACCAGGGGGGCTACCCACAGCAGCAGCAGGCAGGCACAGCGGCGGCGGCCGCCGCCTCGAGCAGCAGCAGCCCTGGCGGCAGCGGGCTGGGGGACACGGCAGCTCCGCCCTCGGCGCTCGGCTCTGCCTCCTCTTCCCTGGATGGAGAGCTGGAGCTGGGCGACGGCATGGCCATCCACCCAGTGCTGGGCAGCCTGGGCAGCCTGGGCAGCCTGGGCGGCGGCGGCAGCAGCAGCAGCAGCAGCAGCGAGGAGGAGGCGGGCGCGGCGGCGGCGGTGGGCGGCGGCGCGGTGCTGGTGGGGGTGGTGGAGCTGTCCTTCAGCGCCTCCACCCGCTCCAAGTACCTCACACTCACCCCGCCAGAGGTTCGTGGCGCTGCCCCGCTGGGCTGGGCGGGGCGGTGTGGGCAGCGGCGGAAGGTGCAGCCGCTGCCGCTGGTGGGATGCCCGGGGCCGAGCTGGCGTGCTGCTCGGCCACGTCTTGCGCAACTGGCCAGCGCCTTGCGCCACCGCCTGGCGGCTGTTTCAGGACACACCTAAGCCCTTCCCGCACCGCCCCCAGCCCCTGCCTGCCCGCCCGCCCCCTGCCCTCCCCGCAGGACCGCCCCTACCTGTGCAACATGGCCATCCACCCCGACCACCGCGGCCGCGGCTACGGCTCGGTGCTGCTGCGCTCGGCGGAGGCGCTGGTGGCGCAGCTGGGGGAGTCCGAGATCTACCTGCACCTCAGGTGGAGAGTGGCCGCTGGCTTGCCTGCAGCTGTGTAAACAGCGCTGGGCTTGGGCAGCAGGCTGCGTGTGGTTTGCCTGGCTTTCCTTCATGCCGCCCACCCATCCACCAGCTGAGTTACCCTCCCTGGCTCCCCACCCCGCCGCACAATGCAGGGTCCAGGACATGCCTGCGGCGCGGCTGTACAAGCGCGCCGGGAGGTCGCAGCGACTCCTTCCTGGTGCGCCTGCTGGCAATAGACCAGCGCCGCCTGCTGCGCAAGCGGCTGCCCAAGCCGCCGCCGCAGCAGGAGCCGCCACAGCAGCAGCAGCAGGCGCCACAGCCGACGGAGTATTGACCTGCCTTTGGTTGTTCCCCTTCCGCACAACACTGCAATGCCTTCCTCTCTGGCGTCTTTCTGTGTCTGAGCTTCTGACCTGCAGACGGCGTGAGGCCATCTACAATACGCCTCCTATTTTGCTGTCGCTGCTTTTTTCATGCCTGTTTCTCAGCACCACCTCTTCACTACTACTGTCACACAAGGTTGCCAATGTATGCTGCCAAAGCTTCCAATCGGTAAATGGAATAGGTGTACACATGTCCAAGCCCCAGCTCAGCCGTGGCAGCTGCTGCTGCAATGTGAGCGGCAGGTCTTGGGCACCAGAGAGCTCCCCGAGGAGGGTCTTCACTCTCCTGAAAGCCGGGATGCTCCCGAGCGGCGGCCGGGGAGCTTGCTGATCGCGGGGTCGGCATTCATCTCATACTTGCCATTGTGCTTTTCGTCACGCCAGAAGCCCCATGCCTTGGTGGGGTGGGCCATGTTCGCCTTGCTGCGACAGGGCAAGGCGCAGCAGCGGTCAGCCTGGCACAGGCCAGCAACAGCCCGGCAGGCCGCCGCCCCTGCGCCGCCCCCAACCCCCTCCCCCAACTCACGCTGAGGCCGCCGCTGCCTGCATGCCCCGCAGGTGTGCCTCCCATTTGGCATCCCGCTCAGCGGGGTCCTCCATTTTCCCCTGAATCAGGGTCTTGATGTAGTTCCAAGACGACATCTGGCTGCGCTGCTACGCCCTCGGTTCTGCTGTAATCACACCCCTGGCGCTGCCCGCGCCCTGAAACACACACAAACAAAACACCCGGCGCGCTCGGAACCCGGGCTTTGAGAGCGGTGCGGAGGGCAACGGGACGGCGAAGTAACGAGCAATGGCAGGGCGAGCGCGCTCTGGTGGCGTCTAGCCCAGCGGCGCAGTACACTAGGGCGGAACGCGGCCGCCACCCGGCCGCCTCCGCGTTCGCCCTCCACCTGGCGTTGCCCTTCACCCTCGCTCGGATCTTCTCCTCCAGGAAGAGCGAGCCACGTTACTCATGTCATTGTGTGCATCCTTATCTATGAGAATGGCAGCAGGCGCCTGCAAGCCGACGCAGCCGCTCCGTTGCCGGCCGCTAGGCGATCCGCGCCGCGCCGCCGCCTTGGGACAGCCCAAAGTGTGCGTCCTCATCAGGCGCCCGGTCATACCGCACTAACGTGAGCCTGAACAGCAAGACAGCCTTGCCCTTCACTCTCCGCAGCTCAGCTCAAACCACCTGCTCCGATGCAGCAGCAGGGCGCTGCCCAGCCCACCTGTCGTTCTGCTCCCCGTCCGCCGCCACCCAGCTGCTGTCCAGCGGATCTGTGATCTCCAGAGTCCAGGGCCGCTCCAGCGCCGCAAAGGCGCGCAGCGCCGCCACAAACTCTCGCCACTCGGCCTGCTCCGCCTCGGCGCCCTCGGCGGCGGCGCTGCCGCCCGGTGCCAGCGCCGGGTTGGAACCCAGCTGCTGCGCCAGCTGCAAGGGCAACGGGGCACAGGGCGGGCAAGCGAGGGGGATGGTGGGGCAGGGGGCACGGAAGACCTGGCATGCAGAGAGGCCTGCAGTCACAGCGGGGCTGCCCAGCCTACAGCGCACCCACAGTTGCAAACAGCGGCGACCCCCGCCTGCCGCTGCACATCCTCATGCCAGCCTCCCAGCCCCCGCCTCATGCTCACATTGCTGATCAGCTCCCCTGCAGTGGTGGCCATGCCCCCACCGCCGCCGCTGCTCAGTGCCAGCTCCAGCTCAGGCACCGCTATGGACGCAGAGGCCGACTGCAGCACCGCACGCTGCAGGTCGGCAGCGGACTCCACACGCAGCCTGCGGCAGGGGGCAGGCAGGGAGGGAGGGCAGGCCAGCTCATGAGCACACGTTCATGGCATCCTTCGGTGGGTGTGCCAGGTGGGCAGGTGAGCCAGACATTGTTGATGCATGAATGGCAGCGCAGGTACAGGGATGCAGGGCCCTGGCGCTGTGTTGAGCGGGAGCAGCGCCGCGGCACTTGCCTGATGCGGGTGCCTTGCGCGCTGACGCCGCCGGTGCCGCGCACCTCCGCCGATGCAGCGCCGCAGCTGGCGCAGCTGGCACTGACAATCACGCAGTCCCGGATGAAGGCGGGGATGGGGCGGTGCACGGCCGCTGAGAAGCCGCTGCCTGCAGCACCGCCGCACGCCGCGCAGCTGGCGGGCAGGTGCACGCCTGCAGGCGCTGCCGCGGCCGCCTGCTGCTGCTCCGCCTCAGCTGCAGCATAGCTGGCCAGGAAGGCTCCCACCTCCTCCTCACCCTCCACCCTCAGTATGAGGCGTCCTGGCGCCGAGGCAGGCTCCTCAGCCTGCTGCTGCCCCTCCTGCTGCCCCTCCTGCTGCCCCTCTGCAAGGAACTCATCCGGCATGGCCAGCCCCATCCTCGACTCCTGAGCCGCGGTGCGGCGGAAGCGCTCCACCCGCAGCTGCGGGTCGCCGCTGGCCGCATCTGCACCGGTGTGGATGCGGGGAGGCAGCAGAGCGGCGTAGGGGTGAGGGGCGGCGCTCAGAGAGGGGTGCACGAGGGCGGCCAGGCACGGCAGCGGCAGCGGTGCGCACTGGCCGGGCCGCCGTCTGGGCCGCCGATGAAGCTGTTGCCGGCGCTGTCCTCGACCACAAAAGTGAAGGCGTGCTGCCCCTCCGCGTAGCCCTCCAGCTCCTGGATGAAGTCGTCAATCTTGGAGGCGGTCTCGGGGTCCCCCGCCCGGCGCTCGGCCTGCAGGCAAGTTCGGCGGCGATCGCACAAGGATGACGACGACGAGGTTGCCCACCTCCTTAACCATACCCCCGCCCCCCCACCCGCACAGCCACCACGTCTGCTCCACCCTCACCTGGTTCATGTTGAGGTTCTTGCAGGCCTGCATCAGCACATCCGCCACCGTGGTCAGGTCGCCGGCAAACGGCACATACGCCCCCGCCCCGATCTCAAACTCGAGCTCGGGCACGCTGCAAACATGGGGGGGTGGAAAGGGTACGTTACGCTTAATCCCTGCTGGACCAGGCTTCCTCGCTGTCGGTACCTGCCGCTTGCTGGCGTGGTAGCAGGGTAGGGCACAGGGCAACAGCACAAGCAGGAGGGCACGCTGGGTGGCGGCCAGGCGTGCCTGACGGTGGCCGTGTCGCTCTTGAGGACCTGGCGGCTCAGCGTGGCGGCGCAGCCCTGCGGCACCTGCAGCGACAGCCGCACGCCCTGCGCATCGTACTGCCCAGCCAGCTGCGCCTCGTCCGCCCTGCGCCAGGGAGCAAACATGGCCAGGGATGAACAGGGATGGAGATTCGGCACCGCCGCACGCAGCAATGCACGCAGCGCTGCTACCCACGTGCGACGGCAGTCCTCGCACTCAAACGCCCTCACGATGATCTCCCGGAACCCCGGGATGTTGCGCCTCACAATTCTGGACCGCCCCTGCGCTTGCAAAGCAGGTGGGCAGGGCCTTCTGGAGGGGGGCGCCGCCGCTGCCGCCGCCAGCGGCGGCACTGCATGCCTGTGGTGGCTGAACCCACATGCTGGGCGTCATGCACCATCCAAAGGCACACTCAACGCACCATGCCGTAGCATTCTGTGCAGATGGCGTCGCCAATATGAGCAGCCTCATTCTCTGAGGAGCTGGTGGAGTCTGCTCGATGCAGGCCGTTGCCATTGGCCTCCATGGCGATCAGAACAATAGCGAAACCAAGCGAATTCGCCGCATGCCAGAGGGTGCTGCGGTGTGCTGGGCTCCTCCCGCCGTCTGGATAATTGCATACATAGGGAGCTCCAAAAGCTTCAGTTGCTGGGCATTGTGATCAGCGAGGTAGTTCGCAGCGCTCAGTTCCCAGCGCTCCGTGAGCAAAGCAATTTGGTGGCGCATTGCAGCCCCGCCCGCCTTGTAGACCAGCACGTGCTGCACGACAGCCATCGCGCAGCCTGGCGGCCGTGCAACAGGCGGTGGGTGGGTCACCGTCTTCAGGGTGAGCCTGTGGCTGCTAGCTTTCGGGCCGTGGGATGCCCTGCACGCTGCCTGCTGCATTAGGGGTCGCTGGAAGCCCGCCAGAGGCTGCGGCGGCCAACGTCGGCCTGGACGGCGCCACCGCCCCTCGCCGCCACGTCTACTGCGCATGCGACCCGTGCTTCACGCAGCCGTGGCATCCTCTCCCCCCACTCCGTGCTGCTGCCAGGCGCAGGGCAGGTAGCAGCAGGCACTAGCGGCCGGCAGCCAGGATGCCGTCGGTGGCGCCCGAGCCCATCCTCGACGTCGTGCGCGGCCTGAGCACGGTGAGCGCCATGGCGCCAGCCCTGCTTTCCCTCGCTGCCGCATGTGCCCAGCCCGCGTGCATCGCTCGCCTCTGGCCCTGGACCTGCCCTCCACCCCGCACCTTTCCCCACTCCCCCGCACCGCCACCCCGCAGCCTCAGCCCTCCCCCTGCCCCTTGCTCCCGCTGCGCCTCCCTCCCCCTGTGCTTCAGCTGGCCTCCTTTGCCATCGTGGTCAACCAGCTGAAGAACATCTACGACGCCTTCTTCATCAACGAATGCGACCGCTGCCGCGGCACCGGCATCGTCACATGCCCGCACGTGCGTCACATGCCCGCCGCGGCGCCCCGCTCGCCCGCGCTTCTCCCCACAGCCTTGTCTCCCCATTCTCCCACCCAAATGCGTGCCCGCCCCACCCCCTCCTCCCCGGCCTCCTCCTCCCTCTCCCCCTCCACGCGCAGTGCCACGGCACCAAGACCCTGCGGCGGCGCCCCGGCTACCTGCGCAC